GGACGGGGGAAAGGTGTTCCTGCCTCCCTGAGTGAATGGTGGGAATCACCCATCAAGATGTCCTCCTTTTCCTCAGAGAAGGACCCTTCATGATAAGTATCCAATGGTCCTTCTGGGGCACTTGTATCATCTACCTGTACTTCTATGATTTCCTCATATGCTCTGTTCAGGAATGGGGAAAAGGTTATCAAGGAAAGGTGTTCCTCCCTCCCTGAGTGGATGGTGGGAATCACCCATCAAGATGTCCTCCTTTTCCTCAGAGAAGAAGGACCCTTCATGATAAGTATCCAATGGTCCTTCTGGGGCACTTGTATCATCTACCTGCACTTCTATGATTTCCTCATATGCTCTGTTCAGGAATGGGGAAAAGGTTATCAAGGAAATGATGCCATTCCTTCTCAAGGTTTCCAAGTATGCCTGTAAAATTCTCTGGTCCCATCCTGGAATCTGATAGATCTGGGAGGTCCCATTCATCACTTGTCTGGTTTTCCTACCAACATGGAACTGCAGGTTGTTGTTAGAGGGATTCTATACAGAACATCTGCAGACCTCATGAAACACATTTGAGGTTTAAACATCTCCCCTCCCACTACCATGAAAAGGAGTCCACTGCACGCCCTTATCTGACATCATTAGGTACTAGTCCCCCTCAAAGTCAGAATTTTTTTCAACTGTGCCTTGATTTACCTAACCAATCCCTATCTTTCTCTGGATACCTTGTCCTTATAACAGATGCAAGCCTTTCAGGATGGAGAGCGCACTGGAGACCAGATGGTCCAGAGATGATGGACTAAGTAAATTAAGAACCTAGAAGGTTAAATGAATCCAATCAGTGGGCCCAATATTTAAATAAATATAGAATATAAGTATATGTCAGTAATAAAAAATACAAGTATTTATTACAAGTTATATAAAAAACCCAGTTACAGGCCCTAATAGAGCCTCAATTTAGATTAAAACATACAGTGCCCTCAAAGACCTTACACGACCCTGACCAGATACATTTCGGCCTTATGGCTTTCTTCAGTGGTCAAGCATAACAATTACACAATGGCTCCATATATTGCAGAAATAGTACAATAATAAATCAATATAGGATCAAGTTCGAATTGTGTTTTAATCAGTATCTGTGGCTTTAGGGAGGTATGCCTAGGAGGCCTCATTTGAAATCACCTTCTGCCCAAGTCAGGTACACATATCCTGAATGGTAGTTCAGTTGTGTGCCTTCCTAATCTTGGTCCAAGGAACTCAATCTAAAGTGCAATATGGAACCATTGTGGCATAATAATGTATAGTCTCCTTCAGAGATGATGGACAACAGAAGAGGCTGCACACAGTGTAACCTGGCTTGAGGTCAGGGCAGTACATCTTGCCAAACACTTTCAGTCATGACCTGGCAGGAGAATTTGTCCTGTTCTGAATGGGTGAAAGCCTGTGCTCTGGGAGGAACAAAGTTTTTGCTCCTTGTACAAAGAGTACACTGCTTTCCTCAACTGGACAAAGACCAGGCTGGCATCTCCAACGGTACTACATGTCTAGGACAGACTACTTAAGCTGCCAAGAGCTCAAGTCCTCAGCCCCAGGGCAATACAAAGAAGGTTTGGTATCCCTCCTTGAATCTCTTTATGTTGCCTATAAAACTGCATAGATTTCCTCCCTCCCCCCATCCCTCAGGTGGAGCGGACATTCTTACTTAGGATTGGCTATCAGGCTTTCTGGAGTTTTCAGGAAGATCAGTGCATCTAAGTTGTCTCACTGGTAGCATGCTGTCCATGTAGGCCCTGATTTTTGGACACCAGCCTATAAATCATCCAGCCGCCACGGCTCATTCCACCTGCCCACAAATGTTTAAAACGAATCCTGTTTCTCTGGCTTGGCCCTGATTGGAAGGCTGAGCAGAGACTGCCAAGAATGAAGCCGTTATCCTGAGCAGGTCACTGATACCATCGTCACCTCATGAAGGATGGCCGCAGACTGTGTTCAGGAAACATCCTGGGGGGTCAATTCTTTGTCATTGTAAGCACGTCTCATGCCAGCTGCTGGCACCAGAGAAATCTGAGCCTTTCTGCCGTCTAGCCTGGATCCTGGGTCTGTGGGACACCTTTTAAAGTACTGGGTTTCAGCTTGGTCATCAGTCCTGGCCTAAAAAGGGATCAAGATCTCTGTCAGCAGATCCAGGCTAAAGTGCTTCCTTCAGTACGCTTCTCTTCTCTGGGAAAAGGAATGGCATAGGCCGAGTGTTGGTATGTCTCGAAATCTACATCAGATGCATTGCCCGCTTCTGAAGAACAGACACCTTTTTCCTTTCCAACTTAAAGGGGGGGGGGAGTAACACTGGGAAGTTGGCTCAAGGTGTGAATCTCGCTAACCTATGAAGTCCAGCTCATTGCTGTCCCCATCTGACTTAGCAGCACATTCTCCAAGGAGAGCTGCAGCTTTGGTTGCATTTGGCACCCAGGCACCTCTGGAGGTAATCTGTGGAGTGGCCTCAATGGGACAGGACCGTATGCTGGACTTCTGTACCTCTTTTGGCACAGGATTCACAAGGAGAGTGCTTCATGCCATTTTCCGAAAGGTCACTGGGCGGCTCATCTGCACATGTGAGATGTGCATGCTGCTCTTTCACATCCCAGCCTGGATTTCCTGCTCCACTGACAGAGAAGGGGACATTGGAACTTAGGTGGTTTCCCCTTGTTGGTGGATGAGTGGCGTTCAGCCCTGCCTGGGATACTTTTGCTACAAGGCTGCTGATGGACGAACAGTCTTAAATTATTTGTTTGTGTCCCCTTTGTTTGCTACCTTATTTTCATGTGCAGACCTCCAGTTGTATGATAAGGTGGCAATTTTGTTTTCTGGGGTAGTTCTTTCACACACTTTCCCTTTTCTCCAGTGAGTTGTTAAGACTGTGCTAATTGGCTTGGGGCAGCCTAAATAGCCCAGACTATCCTGACTCCTGAGCTCTTCAGAGCTTGGAAGCTAAGCAGGGTTGGCCATGGTCAGTACTTGTTATTATTATTACTGTGAATTGTCACAGTGAGATATTTGACTGGTGGATGGTGGCTGCGGTCACACAGAGCATTAGCCACGCTACAGAGATGGAAGATAGGCGGATTTTCCGGGCGCGATCACACCACCACATCTGGAAAGCGTAGAGCTCCCGTGGCTCACCCGAGGCTTCCCGCCGAAGATGCGGTTTACCTCCGAGGTACTAGTTTCCGGAAACCTCGGGGCAAAGGCGGGCATCTGATCGCGTTTCTGTTGGTAGTTACTGTTATCAGGCGCCCGCCCATGTCCCGTCAAGGGTTTTTTCCCCCCAAAGTCTCCAGGATGTGCAAAAGCACCCAACAGCGCATGCGCACGAGGAAGCGGCGTTGGCCACAGAAGGAGGAGGAGGAGGAACGTGGGGGGGAGCAGCCGTCGTGGCGGACCGGGGCACCCTGTGGAGGGGGTGGCGAGGCCAAGCGAAGAGAGGCGGGCGGGCGGTGGGGGGGGCGGCGCTTCACTCTGCAGGGCCTGTCCGGGCCGTGATGTCCCGCCTGCCATTCATTAGTCCTGCTGCTGCCTAGCCATCCCCCCCGCATTTTCCGGCCCGTGTGACCGGGGCCGGTGTTCTGCAGTTCAAAATCTAGCCAAGTTCTTGGGAACTGCAGAGTTATCTTCACAGGTTCCTTGCTGTTCCAAGCAACACTGTCTTCTGGAACTAAGCCGGTGTTATTTGCTCAATGCCCAAAATGTCCAGATGTTTCTTGAGACTTCCGGGCACTGCTCCAAGAGCTCCAATGACAACTGGCACCAGGGTCACCTTCTTCTCCCAGAGGCGCTCAAACTCTTTTCATAGGTCTTGGTATTTTGTGATCATGTTCTTTCTTTTCTACTCTGCTGTCTCTTGGAACTGCAATGTCAGTGATCCAAACCTCGTCTCATTTTTTTCTACAATTCTGATATCTGGGGTATTATGCTCCAGGTGTTTATCTATTTGTAATTGTAAGTCCCAAATAATCTCTGTTTCATCATTCTCCATGATCTTGTCTGGTTTTTGCTCCCATGAATTTCTGACCAATGGTAAGCCATACTTCTTGCAAAAATTCCAGTGCAACAGAGCTGCAATTCTGTCATGACATTCTTTATAGTCAGTTTGAGCAGTTTTACTGCAGACACTGTCCATGTGGTCAACTGTTTCATCCTTTGTCTTGCAAAGTCAACATTCTGAATCTTGACTTTCATGCTGTTTGTTTCAAGTGCCTGCTCTCGTGCAGCTAGAATGAGTCCTTCTGTTTCTATTTTGGAGCCACTTCAACTTTATTCTCTTTGTCATTCAAATATTGTCCGTGCTTTCATTTGTATCTATATATTTATAAAAATTTTATTATTAACTTCATTTATCTATTTAGCATGGTCCTGCCTGCAGGGCAAATGGCAAGTGATGCCCGGCTTCCATTCATCCACCAAAGAGAAACTTTCACACTTAAGTTCCAGTTGAGTCAGGAGGCGGGGCCTATCTTTAGCTCCCTGACCCCACTGGTGGCAGGCATCCTCCTCTAGCTTATATTTGCATTTGCTTTTCTCCATGGTAGAGTCTTAACTAACTTGCTTTTAACCGTGAAGGCAAATGCAGATGTCTTTTTCGGGGAGGGGGGGAGTTGTTGACCATGATTGCTCTGGAGAGCCAAGGATGTGGCAGGGGTTGCCCTTGAAATGAAGCAGGTTGACCTACAGGCTGCTTTTTGAAAAGTCCTCTTTCTCTGAAAATGCTCCCAATAAGAGCTGTGTTGGATCAGATGACGGCCCATCTGGTCCAGCAACCTGTTTCCAGCATCTGGGACTGTGGTAGAGGTTGATGAATGTGAAGGTTTTATGTGGTAGCTTTGGCCCGTAGCTCTTCATTGCCCAAGACCGCTCTTTGAGGCCGAGGGCTGCTGGCCATCGTGTCAGAAACTGGCCATTGCGGCTTGGGCGGCTACTGAACAGACCTTTCCTCTCTTTTGCGGTGTGTTGTCTAGGGAGCGTGAAGCCCAGCAGCCGACATGGCTCCCCCAGGTGCTTGACTAGCAGCTGTGCCTCAGAGGTGCTGGCAAAGCCTGAAGACAGGCATTGGGAAGCCTCTGATTCTGATGCCAGGGCTTCTGGTTCAAATGGCATCATGCCGGTGGATAAAGCAAGGACAATCGTAGCACTGGGGTACGTACACATTGAGTCGCTGTTTGGTACTGCTTGAAGGGGACTGCTGTGTTCAGGGATCACCTTCGTTTTCTTGCATCAGCTCATCAGTAGCCATTCTGTTTACTTACCTTGGCCTTTCATTCGTAGCAGCCCTCAGTTGTGTGGTGTAAGAAACTGGTGTCTGCAGAACTTTGTAGCTGCCCATTATTGAAGCCAGCAATTCTGGCAAAGGTTTTTAAAGACTGTCACTAGTTGCATTGATCTGAAGAAATATTCAGAAATGCAAAGCCACGCAATGCCACTTATTGAGACCAAGGAGAATAACAGGCAATAAAAGTGCAAGCTTCTGCGTTCTCCCGAACTCTGCATCTGCTTGGCCAAAGAGAAAGGGCGGGAGGGAGGCAGGAAGAGCTGTGTCAGGCTGTGGAGAAATACCTTTTCTCCCGGAGGGAAGCTGGCAAGCAGCAAGCCTCCACTTGGTGTTCTAAAAGGGGTTTTTCCCCCCCACTACAGGCTGGGAAGGAGGAAGTCTGTCAGTGGCTTTCCAGGCCTGCCTCTAAAGAAATGCTAATGGGGCTAGCTAGAGACAATGAGAGGCTCAGACTTCCCCCTTTCTCCACCCTCCCCTCTTCAGGCAGAGAGCAGAGGCTGGAGATGTAAAATGCTAGATACTCTTCAGCTTCCTGGAGCCAACAGGAAAGGAAGCCTTGACCTGGGCTGACCGGGGTCTAGTGGGTGGAGACAGAGTGTTAATAAAATCTCCTTGCAAGAAGAAGCTGGTCTCTTTTCCTTGGGGTGCCTCTGAGCTTGGAAGGGCCCTGGTCCTCTCAGTGGGAAGTCGTGATATTGATCAAGTGGGTGGTGGTAGCATCTACTGGCGAGTAAGAGGAAGAGTCCCTCCAGGAAGTTGGGAACCCCCAAGGAGGCAGGGTGGAACAGGGCCTGCAGGCCATTGTAGGCGCATTCTGCCACACAGGCCCTTAACCGAAGGCTTTTTAATGCCAGGCAGACTTGAATAGATTAGATGCAGCAACTGTGAAGTCACACCATAGGCTTCTGGGAAGGAGGAAGAAGAAAGGTCTGCCTGCAATTGAAACTGTTTTTTTTTTTAAAGTCAATCTTGCGCTTACGAGGCTGAGATTGTTCTTCTGCAGAACTAGAAGTAATTTTTGTATTTTCTGGTGGCTGAAATTTTGCCCTTTGGGAATTCAGAAGTGTGGAGGGGGAGCAGTCGTGCAGATTTTCTTCCTTTGCCCATTTTATTTTGTGGCCCGCAGGCCTTATTCTCTGTGGCCTGAGGTAGTTCAGTGTGAGAAGGGGAATGGTTCGGGAGAATCCACTTTCTAGGCTTTGCAACTTTGGAGTTCTTAAGTAGTGATTGCCAGGGGTCCTGATTTGACACTTGGATGTTTGGATGGAATAACCTGCCTCCTCTTCCGCTCTCTCTCTCCTTTTAAAGGTCCAATTCAAACAGATGCCGTCTGGAAGGAACGGAGTCAGCTGATTTGGAAAACAACACTGAAACTGGAGAGCTGCCTCCTGGGCTTTCTGTAGGCACCTTGGCAGGCCCAGAAGAAGGTAAGCCCAAGGCCAGTCTGCTAGAGAAGGGCCCAGAAACCAAACAGGCATGTGGGCATCCTGAATCCTGAGACCTAGAGTGTTCAGGTCCAGTGTCTCGATGACCTGGCCCCTTGTTATTTATCTAGATCACTGCAAAGCTAAGAGGAGCCAAGGGCTGTCAGTGCAGATGCAGCCTTTGAATGGACTTCTGTCTTTGTCATTCAAGGCACATCTTGCCAGTTCTAAAGGCTCCACTGTACTAGATGGCTGCCCCTAAAGGTTTTTGGCAGTACTTGTAATTAAAGCGGGGGGGGGGGGACTTAATCACTTCTGTTCATGCTTTGCATTTGGAAGATCCCCAGTTCAGTCCCTGGCATCCTCAGTTTAGGTGAGAGTATTATAGGGTTGGGGAGAGCCCTGAGACATTGGAGGGCCATGTCTGCCACTGATCAGTATGCGTATCACTAAGCTGGGTGCATCAAGTTTCTGAGGCTGGTTACGTGTATGAATCTTGTATAAGTAGCACGACTCAGTGCAATGCATACAGTCTCATATATATACTGCTAGAGAGCTGGGAGAAAACTGTAGCTTAGCCACAAATTTGGGAAGTATCCCCCACCTCTCATTTGGGAAAAGTGGTCCAATGTTACGGAGAAGCTGGCTGAGCGCAGACTGAATAAAAGGCTGGCTCGTGTCCTGAGGCCGTGACTTTCTCCCCTCTTAGCACAGCATGGCCTGAAGTGATGGAACGTTTGCTTTTGCTTACAAGAAGCCACATTCAGGTGCTTCAGAACACTAGTGGATCCCCTCCTGGGACCTAGAGTTGACTATTCATTCAGGAGGTTGTTGTTGTTTTTTAAAAAAAACCAACCTTCTTGCAGAACTTTGCTTCCCACCCCTGCAACACATTTGAATTTCCGTATGTGACGAATTGCTGTTTGGAGCTGGCGTTGAAAAGCCACCCTCCATCGTTATCTGCAGCGGGCAGCCCTGTGTGGGTGTTGCAGAAAGGGGTCTCTGCCATCGGCTGAACATTCCTTCTGAGTCATTATGCTTAAAGCATCATTAGCTCTTGCAGCTTGGCTGCTGTCGGAGGAAGGGAGGGGGGATATACTTAATTTTTAAGAAGTTGTATTGTAGAAAACCCTCAGAGACAAAGATTGCTGCTTTATTTCCTTCTGGATAAGGAAACAACTGGAAGTAACAAAACCATTTTAGCTTGTTTTTTTTGTAGCCATAGAGACAGGGAGCGCTGGTGGTTCTCTGCTTAATAAACAAGGACAAAGGAACTGGGAGTCTGGTAATCAGCATGCTACTGTGTGCTGGAGAACCCCAACTTTAACCTTTAGGGTCCTGCGAAATGAGGAGAATCCTCGTTAAAGGGGATCCTTGATCGAAGCCCTGCCATCCTCTTCTGTGACTGCAGGATATTTCTCAGTTTCTGTAGCAAAAACAGTTCCAGGTGTGACTGGGAATATTGTCTGGAGCAGCGGGGCTCTGCTTTGAGAAGCTGGTCATTGTAAATCTGCTGAAAGGTTGTGACTTTTCCTTCCAGTGCTGTTCGACTTTGATGTCTTTGTGAGGAGTGGCTTGCTGATGTACAGCTGACTGGTTGGCGGGCGACCAGTAATGGAAAACAGCTTAAATGGCAGAAGCAAGACCCCTCATGAAATTGATTTAAGAGTGAAAATACAAATTAAATTGATGGTCTTCAACATAAAATTCTCAGCTGAATCCATGTGGCTTAGCAGCCCTGTCTGATGCACATCCCCTTCAGGTGGTTTCCTGAATCCCCCCCCCCTTTAAATGTATTGAGAATGGGGTTGTAAGTAGCGTGGTGTTTAAAGTGGCCAGTGGTGCACAGATTGTGGCTAACCACTGTTTTCTATTAGTAGCTGTCAGTTCTAATCTAAACCTGTAAAGCCTGTAACACTAAGATAGTCCCTAGACGAACTGGACTTTAATTTAACCTTTAATAAGGGAACCACATTTTATATACTTTTAAATTTTCTTTTTAAGAGACGGCTTATACTCATTATACACAGTTACAGTATTCCCTTTCAGTGTTGTTGAGAGGATAAAATGGAGAAGGGGAGAACAGCATATGCTATCCTGAGTTCCTTCGACAAAGGGCAAGGTTAAAAAAAATGTAAAGAGTGATAGAAATTCCTTTACCGAGAGAAAAGTGCAGCATATTAAATTAGGAGCATTAATTTTCTTCCTGGAAGAAATATGAGAATTTCACTCTGTCTTCTGGTTTTATTCGCTGTCGCTAAAAGGGGCTCTGTGGAAAGCTTTTTTTTTTTTAGTAGGCAATGAGCAGCAATTCTGATTTCAGTTTCAGAAACTCCTTTGCTAGGTAGCACAAAAGCTGGAACAAGCTGTCTATGCTGCTCAAGAATCATTGTGCTTACAGGGGGCTGTCTGGGACCCTGAGAGATTGATCCTTTAATAAATCCATGTGGCTCTGTCTGGAACCGATTAGGGGACACTCACTGACTGAGACACTAAGTATATATTTATAAGATGTATTGGCCAGGTAAAGGTTATCTGATGCTGCAAAACCATTGTGCAGTGCACTCCTGTGCATGATTTTGTTTTGTGTTTTTACTGTCGAGTCACAGAAATGGGAAATAAGGCAGCAAAATAGGACATTGTCTGTTCAATAGGCGGAACAGGACATCAATGAAGGGTGACTCCTCCCATCCATCAGTTGAAATGTCAAGTCTTCAGCTTTATTGGTACTGTAGATGATAGGGCAGGTCCCAGGTAAAACAGCTGTGTGAACTTCAAAAATGCAGCTCACCAGTGTGATCCTTTGCTTAATGAGTTAAGTCCAAACCCCCTGGTTTTACTATAATTGGCATAAAACTGGCGGGCAGAAGAGAGGGCCTTCTCAGTCACGGCACTAGAACTCTAGGACTCTCTGCCTGTCTCCCTGTCGCTGTCTTTCACCAGTGGGTAAAGTCTTGGTTTAATTAGTTGTAGATTTTCCGGGCTGCATGGCCGTGGTCTTGGCATTGTAGAACCTGACGTTTCGCCAGCAGCTGTGACCGGCATCCTCAGACAGAGTACTCTCTGTGTCAAGGTGAGAAGAAAAATGGTTTTCATACAGCCCGGAAAGTCTACAACAATGAACTCCGGCCGTGAAAGCCTTAGACAACCTATCTTTGTTTAATTCTTGATTTTATGTCTTTGAATGCACTTCCGGTCTTTTAATTGTTTTCATGATGTGTGGGTTTTTTTGTTGGGTTAGTAGTGGTTTTAAATCATTTTAAGATGTGATTTTATTATGCACACTTTAATTTCTTAGCCACCTTGATACCCTTGTGAGGGCAGAAAGGTGGGATATGCATGTGTTAAACAAATAAATGGAGGCCAGGAAAAACCCATGACCCTGAAGAGTAACTAGCTTGCCTAAAGAGGAGAGCCCCCGAACCCTCATCCCTCAAGTGCCAACAAACCATGAACGTGTAAGGTTTTGTCAGAGGTTGTCAGAGCAGGCAAGTAAGGAAGCCAGGTGGGGCTTTCTTCCACTGGAGGGGATATCCTGCTTGGAGGAAATGCAGGGCTTTAACACCCTTTGTGCAGGACGCCTCCCATACCCACACAAGGTAGTGTTCTTTGGGGCTTGTCATCTCTGGGGGCCCTACACACTCTGTTCTCCTGCATGTAGCTGGGCTTTGCCCGAAGCACGTCCTTCACCTCCTGCCCGGCATGAGCAGCGACAGTGACATTGAATGTGACACGGAGAATGAGCAGGAGGATGTGGAAGCTGCCAGTGCCTCCTCAGATGTCTTCAATCAGGCTTTCCGGGCCCCAGCTTCCAGTGAAGGTAGGAAGGCTCCTTTGCAGAGACCGAAAGGAATACCCCGCCTGGGCTGGCTTCTCTCTGCACTGCTTCTTCGGCTCCTTATTTCCCCACCACCAGGGTAGGTCCTCATGGGCATGGTTTATACGTATGGACTTGTGTGTGTTATGTGGGCTTTTTAAACGTGATCTCATGTCACGAGACCTAGCAGCCCAGGACTTGCAAGCCTTGTTATGGCAAAGAAACACACAGGCTGATATTTATCACCTCCCTTCTTTCACCAGAAGGGCTGCATTACACATTCTAGAAGAGTAGTAGAGTCTCTTGGAGCCAAAAAAGCAGGAGTCTCTTCAAGACCAACATTGTTCTTGCAGGAGCTTGCCTGGGCTGGAGGCCAAGTCCACCAAGGCTCACGCTAGAATGAGACCCTGTTTGTCTTGAAGGTGCCACAAGGTTCTTGCTAGTATTACTTATGCAGCCTAAATCTGCACAGGAGAACTGTGTGTGGGGTTGGTGGCTGCTGCTTGCTTTATCTTCACTCACACAAACACACATGTGGACATGCAAGTAGGGAAACAGGCGTACACCTATAGTAGGGCTTCTGGGACCTGAGTAGATTGGGGGTTTGTTTCCCCCCTCACCATGTTTGGGAAGACAGTGTGAGTAAAGCTGCGGGTGGGCATATCCCAAATTGAAAGTCAGCCCTCTACTTTGTATTTTTAAAAAATTCCCTTCCACTGTGTTGCTTTCTCATATCTGCTTGTATTTCAGCCTTAGAGTTGTGTTCTGTTTTTACTGAGGGGGATGAAGTAGGCTCTGATGACCTCCCGTTTGCTACTGGCAAAGACTGCACAAGGTAATTGGCTCCTTAACTATCAGTAAGTCGCATTCAGTACAGTACCAGAAGGCTCCCCGCGAAAGGACACTGCAGCATCTCTCAGTACAGCCACCCATGAACCAAGCCCTGCCTCAGGGAAACTGCCTTTGATATCAGCATCTTGCTACTTGACGGACCTCTTGTAATAGTGGGAGATTAGCAGGTCTTTCCTGCCCCTTCCCAAAAGCAGATTGACTTTGGGCTTTATCACTGCAATACTGATCAGCCCTGATGACAAACGTTTGTCAGGTCCCGTTTGGCCAGACCCCAGGAGCTTCCTAAGGTGCAAGGCGTGCAGACACATCCTTGTACTCCTGCTGCATTGTGGCTTTGTGCTGCCATGGACTGGTGATAAAGAGCTCCCTGTGATCCTCTCTCTCTCTGCCAGGTAGAGCATCTACTGGGAGGGGCTGCCTGAAGCTGGATTGGCACACACACCCGCCTGTCTCCCTTGGAGATGGGCACAACCCTGCCCAGGGGCTGTTTCCGGTAACATCTTGTGCACGCGTCTCCTTTTTCCTCTCTCCTTTTGCGCTGAGGATCTTCTTGTACTGCTTTTCTCAACCTGCTCAGTTGCTGGTGCTGCCACAATAACCTACGTTCTGTGTGCCTCCTAGTGGTGCTGGAACTACAGCCGTGTTCCATTTTACTACAGAAGTAGTTGGGGGTGGTGGAAGATGCGAGTCTCTCCCTGCCCCATGGGGTAAAATGGCATGAATTGACACTAATAGAGCTGTTCTGCTGGTGAGGCCGAAGCTACTGTAATGGGAGAGGCCTCTGTACTTCTCCACCTGCCCCCATCCCTGTTTTGGCCAGTTGGGAACACTTGTTGCCAAACCCTGTGCCACTGTGCATTGTGCACTTGAGCTGCTAAAGATGATGTGAGCTGTGCTGAATTGGCTGTTCCCTTAAAAAGCATGAATTGCTGTATCAATGTTGTGTGTGTCCTTATGTCTAACTGAATGTTATACTGAACAAAGTATTCTTAAGTGATGTTTAAAGTGCTGTAAAAATTCATATAGTTGAGTTGTCTGCCCTGTTTTTAATTAATAAAATGAACCTGGAAATGACTCTACTTGTGCAATTTAATGTTCAGACATTAGGCCCAAAGGGAAGGTCTTTGTGTTGAGGAGCCGTACGCGGTGCCCTGTCCCCCCCTACAGCTACAAGACTGGGCCAGGCCTGCAGCCATCTTCCCGTGTGCTGGTGCCTGTTCTCGCCTTTGTGTCTTCCTTTCTATTGTGTGTCAGGGATAACTTTCTCTTGTTTGTACCAGCTAGTCCTGAGTGCAAATAGCTTTTGGTTCCAGTTCAAAAACAGTTGTTGTTACCGTCAAGTAAATACACCAATAAGATTTAACAGTTGCTGTTTTTATTAAGATACTGGTAGAAGTTGAACATAGTCCTTACCTTTTTGTGAACAGCTTTAATAAATAAAATATGGCTAATACATCATTCTAACTGAACTTGTGAGCTACAGGAAAAATTGTCCCAATAGGTCTTAGCACAGTAGTATTAAGTCACTTCTGCAGTAAACTGACCCACTTCATTAATTTCATGATAGCGTAAGTATCTTTCCGCAGGAGCCCAATAATACACTTGGCATTTTAATGTTTTAGTAATAAGCTGAATCTCCGGTTTCCCGCTACACCTAGCTAATCTTGTTTGACTCATCCGTATTTTCTAGAAGAAAATATGCAGCAGCCAAGGGGGTTAAGTAAACACAAACTTGTTAGGTGTATTTTCATGACACTTCAGGGTTAATACTGGTAGTTACAGAAACTCGTTGGTGTGACAGAAGAATAAAAACCACTTTGTCACTTGGGTTCCTTGAAGATGTGTGTTGCACATGATGGACAGGTGCAGGATTTTTTGAGCAGTTAATGTGCAGAGAGGCTTAACTTAAACACAGCCAAAAGCCTTGGCATCCTGACTCTGGTCTGCCTTTGCAAGTGAGCTAGTTCTTTGGAGAGAAGGTGCTCAGCTTCTCCCCTGCTACCACAGAATTTTGGCAGGGCAAAAGGGCTACTTGGAATACAGCTCTCACATTATGTAATGCTGAACTTCCTCTGCATAGTTTTCCTGGCTTAACAGAACGTTCCAGTATGGTGGCTATGTCTGGCAGTAGAATACTTAAAAGCACAAGCCCGGGAGGGCACTAGTGCTTTCCAGGTAGATTGAAGGTTTTGCAGGCAGGCCCGGAGGAGGAGGAGGAAGAGAACTCCCACGTGTGTCCCATTTTTCTCCTGTCTTGTCATTTTGAACCAAGAGCCGCAAGTATCAGGCAACTTTTCTCCCTTGTTCGGTTGTACAACTGGGAAATTGTTTTAGTAAGGGAGCTGTGGAACTCTGGTCCAGCCTGCATGAAAGGACAGAAGGAGAACAATGCCTAAACTGCAGAGACTATGGTTGGGGAAGAGGGAAATAATATGCCTCCCAGGGTTGTAAACTCACAAGGACAATTGATGGCACTTCTAAGTATAAATATTTTAGTGCAATTGGACTAGATCAATGGCTTCCTCCGCTGCTGCCGCTGCTCCCTTTCCTGCCGTACTCAGAATTCGTACATCAGAGGGGGACTGCAGGAATCCCCGCAAAACTCACAGTGAATAAACTCAAGCAGACTTTGAACTGCCACGAGTCTCCTGCCATGACAGACTACTTAACCTTGTTTACTCTACCAACTTCCTACCAGCTAATGTGGATTGTGTAAACTCCAGGGATTCTGCAGCTCTTTATTGGAAAGGTTCTTGTTACGCAAATGTCACCACTACTGAAATACACAGATTTACAAAACACTTCAGACAACCAACATTAACAATAAATACAATTAGATTCCTATACTTTTTTTGTACATTATCACCAGCTAGAGGATCAAAGTACAAGATACAGAACAGTGAGATACCATTTTCAGTTAAAAAGAGGAAAGGGACTTATTGCTTACGTCAGCAAGCAGCAAATAAGGGCACAGGAGTTTGAACTGAAGAGAACTACTTCCTATCACTAGTGGCATTAAGAGAAAAAACACTGTCACAAAGCACTGCTTTTTTTTTGCCTAGTGTGTAAAGTTGAGCAGCATATATTGGACCAACAACTAATTTTAAATACATATTCTACCGTGGTTAAAGGGTTTGCTTCACAAATGGCTCTTACATACTCTATATCACTGATGAAATGAAGGAATGAACACTTGCTGTTTGTAACTATCTTGTACCAGGCCACACTAAGAATGGATGGCAGCTTCCCTCCCTCCTGGAGGGATCAACAGGATGAGCAGCAGATAACCCATGTATGAATCCACAGAGATTCGGGGGGGGGGGATGTTTCCCACTTTTTTCTTAACACAAAAGCATACTTTGAGGCTACAGCTTCTCAATTATGCCTGCACTGAGGGAAGAAGTCTGTTATGAATGTCTGACACACACCTCTGTGGAAAAGAGCTAAGTGCAACTGTATGAAAACAACTGTCAGGGAGCAGAGACTTGAGTCATACCTTCTCCAATGTGAAGGGGGTTTTTTTTTGTTTTTTTTTTAAGGTGGCAGCAGTGATACCCTGATGTTGCACAGGCTGCTCTTCTGCCACTCCTCCGGGGTCCCTGATTGGTCACACAGGGCACCGAAGTCTCACAGAGGATGACAAATGGAATACGGAGTAGGCCCTTAAATTTCTCCCCAAGACAAAAGACGTCTTGAGATCTTCAACTTGCTTTAAAGCTTTCCTCTACGGTTTCAATAAGTCTCTTCAAGGAAGTCGACCAATGAAACACTACAACTCTATCCTTAAGAAATTCCTCTGGACTGACTGCATTTCTAGCTTGTAGGCAAACTGTTGGTGTTGTGCAGCTGCATTAATGACAACATAGACTAGTTAGCAATACTGTCAAGACTCAAGTCTAAAGCACCCTCCTTGGGACTTATGTGGGATACTCAGAGCTGTGTAAATGAAATGCCTCATGTTGGGATCATTCTGTCAAATGTTAGTGGCCAAGAGGCAATTTCTAAAATGCCACCTGTCTTGGATTTATTTCTGCATTCTAAGTTTGGTATTTAGTGCTAAAATTACTGCATTTTCCCCCTTTAATTAGTGCTTTTGCCCATCAAGAGGTAATCCACTCCACAACTGATTTCAGACTTTTAATTTTTCAGCTGCTGCAACAGCAGATTCCCTTAACCATCTCCTTACTCCCAGTTGCATTGTGGCATTCCTAAGAGCTTCACCCCCATATTAGTCTTAGTCTCCCCTAAAAAAACACACCAAGAACTGCCCCAACATCTGAGCCAAAGACAACACCAGCATTACTGCTGTCTCCTACTACTTCCTTTAGATGCCCTGGAGTGAACTGGGAAAGCAGAACTGTCAGTCAGCTTTTGGTTCTGTAAGTTTATAGACAGCATGTTTGTGTCTGGACTAGCTCTAGATTGGTTTGACACCTGAGATTTAAAAAAAAAAAGGATTAGTGAGAAGTTGTTAATGGAAAATACTGACCATGATGCTATTAGATGCACATTATTTAAGATTACTTTTTTAGTTTAAAAGTAATATGTCACTAAGCACCAAAAAAAATATATCCTCCCAAGCTACTGAAATGCCAATATAATTTTGACTCCAGCCACAGAAAATAGTCACTATTAACCTACAGAGAAGTTTAGTTTGCCTTCATTTTTAATGTTACAAGAAGGGAGGGAGGATCACTGAAGTCTGAATTCATACCTTGATCGGAGTATTATTAGATATTTAACAGGGGATGGGCAGGATGTAGTGCTAGAGTACCTGTTAAACCCCCCATATGGCTTTTTAAAACATACCTGCAAAGCATCTTGCTGGCTATACATTTTGCTTTGTTAACCTTAAACCCCAAAGGGAACCCTTTGCAACCCAGACTAGTGAAGTCTTCCTGCCCACTCCCCCAACACACTTACAAAAACTGGCAGGTTTAAAACATGGACTTTCTGAAAATATTGCTCCACAGACTCTTCTCAAACAGGTTTCACCTTTCTTTTGCTATCTCTTATAAATACTACTTTCCTATCTAGTCCAGGTGAGTCAATGACAGTACCTAGTTCCCATAAGCAAATGAAGCTTTAGATACGTGTATGTCTGTGACATTGCTGAGAGAGAGAGAGAGACTGGCATGCCAGCTGCTATTTTTTGAGACTGAAACACTGTTTTATTCCTAGATCTATTTACACGAGTGGAGCGCCCACTCTTTTTGTTTTTTAATTCTCATTCTGTGAACGTCTAACCTAACTATTTAAAGAGAATGGGGGGACCACAAAGGAGCACATTATTTTTTACAGCTCCAGAGAAGCCCAGGGTCTGGTATACAGTAGCTCAGGAGAATCCCCTCATCGTGACTCTGGTAACAGCTAGAGAAGCCTTGCCAGAGACGGCTTCTTAGTGACTTATTCCTGTGGCCGTTCGCACTGCTAGGTGAGTGCAGAGCAAAGCACTCCTGGTGGGAGAGTGGTCGGTGCTCAAAGAAAAACGTGTGGAGCTTTGGCTTGAGTCTGGCTAGCCGCTGCCACCGCTTGGTGTCACAGAGGTGGAAATGAGAGAAAATGGAGGCTCTTTGGGCCCAAGATTTGAACGGCTCGCCCCCCAGCCTCACACAGATGGGAGTCTCACTCACCATGTTGTATTCGTGCGGGCTCGTAGACCCATAACTAAGGAAAGAGATCTGCCCTGGGAGACTGCTGTGTCCACACGTAGGAGGGGCAGCATCAGGCAGCGTCTCATTCTCTGCTGAAAAACCATTAGCCAGGGTTGCTCTCTTTGGTACACCAGCATTAAACCCTTGATCTGGGGACAGGCGTTTGGCACTCTGAAGTTTGCTAGCTTCTGTTTTCCTTAAGTCTACATACCCTTGGTCTTCCAACAAGTCAATTCTGGAACCTGTACTCAAGGTAGTTCTGTCCGTGAAAGAATCCACTCTCCCATCATACCCTAGGTCTGCAGGGGCCGAGACCTGGTGCTGGGGCCACTGCCTCTTGCAATCACCATGGTTTTCTTTGTCGTCGCCGTTATCCTCCTGCCCGCCTTGGAAAGAGTTTTCTGTCCACTCTGACTCCTCACTAACACTTACTGCTGCACTCATGTCCCTGAGAAAGACCACGATGACAGTGATATTGTCACTGGAGCCAGCATCTCGAGCTGAAGCCACCAACTTATGTGCCACCATGCTGCTGTCCCCATTGTTCTCCTTCAGGTGGTCTGCCACCACCTTCACTGCTTCATCAGGATTCATGGTGTCATAGAAACCGTCGCAGGCTAAAATGAGGTAGTCTTCAGATCCGTCCAGAACCATGGAAGCAGAATCTGCATCCCCACAGATATATGGCTTATGTTCTGCATCACCTGGAGCAGATGGATAAAACACATTCAGGGAAAGTTCAGGCTTCCGGCAAGGATGAGAAATCAGTGACCTTTCTTTGAAGCAGCGGGACTGCTGGAGTACAGCAGATTTATAAGCAAGGACAAGTATGGCTGAGGGTAGGGGTGTAAGGACTTCAACCACTATCACAAGCTCCCTCATGAAAGTCTCAAGTTCCTCAGCTTTCAATTAAATCTGGGAGTTGGTAGTTCACAGCTTCTGTGAAAATGTACTGGCTGAGGTGGTAGGGATACAAACGTCAGAGCCCTCCTCAAAGATGTTTGAGATTCCAAAGCGTGGTCTAACCTGATCTTAGAGTTTGCTCCGTGCAAATCCTCAGAGTCACACCCTTCTATGTCCACAGTCTTAGAAGAGGGCAACTCTGTTTCTGGTTGCACAGTTAGTGACCAGTTTGCAATTTTGAATCGTCTGGGAATCGGGTCCCAAGCTTCTGGAACTCAAGAGGCTCACAACTAGATTTGTACTGGACTGGAAATGCAAGAGGCAAAATGTACATTGCAGGGGACTGAAGCTGCAAGTCAGACTGTTCGTAAAAGGAGGGGATGCTGGGGCTGTCTCGAGAAAAGACAAGAAAAAGCGTATTTATGTGGGTGCAGGAAGCACATTTTGCTTGCCAGTGACAATTCCTTCAGCAGCCATCAAACCACTTGAATCTCACCAAAGCTCCAGCTTCCTACATTCTGGGCTGGTGCTGTAGTTCACAAACACAGGTAGCATGTTCTGAAGAAAACCTAGTATCACTTCCAGGCAACTCTGCCATGCTCACAACAAGAAAAGCATGCTGTCAGCCACTAGGGGGGGGGGGGGAATAGGGAAGGGAAAATAAAATGGGCCAGACATCAAGATTTCAGTTTCCTACCAATAGCTCTGGAGACAGACAGACTCCCATTGACTCGCCAAGCCCCGAACCAGACCACACAGCCTCCAAGGGCCTCAATGCGTTTCTTCTCATCCTAAACCACAAGGTAACACAAAAGTTGATTAGAGTCCTCGGCGCTACTCGGAATTTTCCTGAAGATTTTGATGTTCTCATGCAGGGATGGACTCCACGTTTTGGGAGGCCCTGGGTCCTATGCCCTGTAGTTTCCTGATGCTAAGCAAGCCCTCATCTTCCTGCTCTCTATCTGTTCCCACCATAATGTGTATATGCAGACACACTACCAGTTGATTGGAACCAGGGATACCTGCTGCTCCACTCCCTTTTCCAGACACCCCTCTCAGTAAGAAGTGAGAGATCAGCCAAAAGGCTCCCCCAACACCTCTGTGGCCATCTGCCATCTATGGGCCCTGCGCCAAGTCAAGGGTTTTGGCAAGCTGCCCAGCCACACTAACCCCCCCCCGATGCAGTCTCTGCTCTCTGGCATAAAGAAAATTCTTGTAACAACGATTTTATCTCCATAAGGGATTTCTTCCCAAAATAGCAACAGTTGGTTTGCCTATGCTAGCAACTACAGGAGCTAATGTGTATCTAGTACCTGACTGATGGAGCCTTGGTCAAAAATGGTTTCAGGTAGTCAGCTGTGTTGGTCTGTCTGTAGCAGTAGAACAAATTTAGGGTCCAGTGCCACCTTTAAGACCAACAAAGGCTTATTCAAGGTATGAGCTTTCGTGTGCAAGGCCCACTTTATCAAATACATTAGAATGGCACGGAAGGTTCAGACTTATAGCCGGAGAATGAACAGCAAATTAACATGCAACATGATGATGATCAAGATATGCAAAGTGACACTAAACAACAAGGTAAGGTTATGGGGTCAACAGTTGTAAAACAATAAATATGTCAAACTAGCAGATAAATGTTTAAAGGTGTCTTTTCTAATCATGGGAAGTGTCTGGGAATCTTCATTCTCTCCTCTCAGGTGGGGAGGGCACTTGACCCTACATCCCCCTCCCAAAAATGCTGTTATGTCAGCAGACATCCTAATATCCCTTGCATACATTCAGTATTCTAATATACTATTCTGAAAAAGAAATACATTAAAATACAGAGGATTTATAGTCCTTTTTGTTGAGAATACATATGTGAGGACTGAATGAGTTAGCATACGCAATGAGATAAAAACCCAATATCCCTGTTGAGTCCTGGGGAGGTTTTTGTTCCAAGTGTTGTAATAACTTGTAATTCAGCAATCTCCCTTTCCATTCTGTTTCTGAAATTCCTTTGTAATAAAACAGCTACTTTGAGGTCTTCCATTGAATGTCCTGGAAGGTTGAAGTGTTTTCCTACAGGTTTCTCAATCCTGTGATTTCTGATGTCAGATTTGTGTATGGACCCCTCCTGATGGTCGCAATACCACACTGGATCTTTACATAGAATGCTTTCGCCACAGACTACAAACCGATGTGATCAACAAACAACATTATGTACAGCAGAATCTCAACCATGCTAAAAGGAAGGCCATAAGACAGTCTCAGGAACAATCCGAATATTATAATTAAAGACACAGACAAAGGAGGAGCCACTGTCATCATGAATAGATCAGACTGCATCCAAGAGGCTCAAAGACCACTCTCAAAGACTGCTTTTTACAGACAGCTGGACTCAGACCCCACACAGGAATACAAAAAAGAGCAATATAAGATTATAAAGGAATTACCACTGCACATTTGGGAACTTATCCTTTTAGACACACCTCCGGAACCTCGACCAGGTACCTTTTATATTCTACCCAAAGCACACAAACCAGGGTGCCCCATTGTCTCAGGCATAGGCACTATCACCGTGGGGGTATCTGGATATATGGACTCCATGCTAAGACCCTATGCCACCAACCTTCCAGGACATTCAATGAGTGACTTCAAAGTAGCTGTTTTATTACAAAGGAATTTCAGAAACAGAATGGAAAGGGAGATTGCTGAATTACAAGTTATTACAACACTTGGAACTCCCCAGGACTCAACAGGGATATTGAGTTTTTATCTCGTTGCGTATGCTAACTCATTCAGTCCTCACATATGTATTCTCAACAAAAAGGACTATAAATCCTCTGTATTTTAATGTATTTCTTTTTCAGAATAGTATATTAGAATACTGAATGTATGCAAGGGATATTAGGATGTCTGCTGACATAAAAGCATTTTGGGGAGGAGGATGTAGGGTCAAGTGCCCTCCCCGCCTGAGAGGAGAGAATGAAGATTCCCAGACACTTCCCACAATTAGAAAAGACACCTTTAGACATTTATCTGCTAGTTTGACATTACTGCTTTACAACTGTTGACCCTATAACCTTAACTTGTTATTTAGTGTCACTTTGCATAACTTGATCATCATCATGTTGCACGTTAATTTGCTGTTCATTCTCCGGCTGTAAGTCTGAACCTTCCGTGCCATTCTAAAGTATTTGATAAAGTGTGCATGCACATGAAAGCTCATACCTTGAATAAACTTCTGTTGGTCTTAAAGGTGGCACTGGACTCTACATTTGGTCAAAAATGGTTAGAGTATGGCAATAGTTTTCTTTTCTTTGTGACCACGGCACTGTATGCTCTGCAATCCACACCGTTCTCACCTCTCGGTCAGGCTTGTGCGGCTTCATCAGTTCCACAGCCTGACCCCTTCTCACAAGCATCACTTGGGAGTCACCCAGCCATGCCACATACAGCATATTCCCTCGGATGAACGTCACCACGCCAGTGGTTCCACACCGCAATCTCTGGGGAGAAAATGTAGTCCTAGTCTTATTACAGGCCAGAAGAAGCAGATCAGACATTCCAGGCATGAGTTATCAAACATGGGGACATTTCAGCTTTCAGGATGGTGAAACCACTATTTCTGTTTGTGAGCTGAATTAATTCCTATCAACATATTCTCAACTTTGCCTCATCTGTGGGTACTTATCTGGAGACTGGGGCCATGGACAGACAAGGCAGATCTTTCTGCAGACCTGAGAAGTCCCAGGTTTGCAGAAGAATCTGAAATTTAAAATAAATGAACAAAATTTAAAAATGGGGGCGGAGTTTAAAATCTCCCAAAACAATTAAAGGAGAGACTGCAGCTTTGCGAAACAGTTGTCCTCAGTGGCTGCTCCTAGGCAACTACAACAATATTCAGGGATTGGTTTCTATCAGGAAAAGGCAGGGGGATGGGGAAGGGTCCCTTTCCAGGGTTGTTTCAGCACCTGAGGGAGGACTCATTTGTGGTCAAGGCCAGCAGCAAGCAGCCACCACGTGACCTGACACCACATAATTAGAATAATTCACCCAGGTCTGGCTGCCTGCTACTGTTCAACAATAGGGTCACAGCCAAAAACAATTCACAAGCAAAGACACAAAGGAAATTGTACAAAAATTGCTTATATTGGCATAGAAAACCACGAAATCCCAATCCATAACATGGAAAAAATTGTTATGATTCTAACAAAGTTCCTACAACCACTTTGGGATTTCGTAGTGCCTATGTAAAGAAGAGATTGTTATCCCCACAATAAGGAATGACACAATTGATCTGTTGATGTTCAGAGGAAGTTTCCCTACGAAACGGAGGTTTACTCTGGAGAATTTCGTCATCATGGCTCTGTGAGGACTACTACTTTTGTCTGCATACCTAAAGAAATATATATAAGGACTTTGGTTATTCATAACATTTACACTTTTCTATGTGTAATTTTTGTACAGTTTCCTTTGTGTCTTTGCTTGTGAGTTGCTACTGTTCAACAGCAGGCACCCGACAAAAGCCCGTGTATGGTTAGAGTTTCAGATTAGGATCTTGGAGATCAAAGTTCGAATCCCCACCCTGCTTTGGTCAGGTCACAACCATTCAGCCTGATCTACCTCACAGGGTTGTTGTGAGGATAAAATGGAGGAAAGGAGAATGACATAGCTGTCGTTTGTTCCCAGTGTAGAGAAATGTGGGATACAAATGAAGTAAATAAATTATGTAAGTGAAGATGTTGGGCTGATAAAAGACTGGCTGGTGCAGGAAGCAGAGAAACTGTGAAGAGAAGAGGAAATAATGTATGGAAAGGGATACAGGGGGAAACGAGGCGCTCTGCACAAGTCCTTGTGGGTTCCACACAGTGCAGCTCAGCCCTGGCCCGGCCCAGCATTTGGGGAGGGAATGAGGGAAAGCTGAAGGCAGGGATGGATAAAGTTAGGTTGGCTGGTGCACGGAAAGGAGATAAGCAAGCGGGAAAAGAAGAGAGGCTAGGGAGCTTTCAGGAATGAAACAGAGGAAATAGTGGGAAGGGGGGAAATGAGATGCCCCCTCAAGTCCTTCCTGGCCCACTGCTTGTCCAATCTACCTTGAAGCCAACAGGAATAATGAGGAAAGAACACAATGCACAGAAGCATAATATCTGCAACAGAACTCCCATTTCAATTCTCAAACTTCGCCCCTCCCCAGTTAACAATTCACCTCTCTGGCCGCCTTCTGCACAAAGCGCTCGTCTGTCACTCGGAAAGCCTTGCACAGGGCCTCTGCGGGGTCATGCTGGAACATCTCCTGGTGCACCAGGTTTACATGGAGGTGGACAGAAGCATAGATGGCGGCATCCACCCCTCCGTGGCCATCAAATACTGCAAAGTAGGCCTGTTCCTCTTGGTCCTGCCAAGAGAAGTCCATTGAAATGATGGGAGTCACAGGAGTGACTCAAGTAGGCAACTTTAGACATTTATTAAAGAGTGTTTAATGCTGCAGGCTGAAGCGACGTGATAGAAATCTAATGAACAGGAAAGCATTAAAAGAGGAGACATCTGCAGCACAGGGGATTAAGGATCTGAATAAACGGCTATAACAGGACTGCTGGATTGGTAGCTTTTCCATTTACTTACTTTACTGCTATTCTCCAACCACATCTGTTTATTAGGCTTTTCTGCAGGTACAGAAAGTGCTACATATTAAAGAGTACTCTGGGAACTCCTGCCTCAAAGGTCACTTGACCGGTCCTGGCTCTGGCCACAGGCAGTTCTCCCTTCCTCTAAGCAGGCTCTTTACCTCAAGGTTGAAAAGTGTGTTGAAGTCAGGGATGCAGACATGTTTGTCCTCCATCTTGCGGCGCATGTTCTTAATGGCGTGAATGGATGTTTCATAATAACGGCGAAGTTTCCTTTGCAGGGGAAAGTCCTTTACCCAGCTGCTGCAGACATCATGGAGCTTGCTGAACACCGTGCGGGCCAACTTCATTGTTTCCACTTCTGTAAAAGTACAGAAACCAACATGTGACAAAACCCTTGCTAGGAATGGGAACTTCTGGTCTCTGTGGAAATAGAGAGTAAAGCTGTGTTGACCAGGTACTCCAAAGTTTTGTCAGTTCATATTATTTTATCAAAACTCTCAGATTTGTATAAAATGCTCTGTACTACCACCGAGTGCCAGTGAATCTGTATCTCCCCCCCCCCCAATACACACCCTTCATGCACCGTGTTCACCTTGTGAAAGAACCCTTCACACAACTAACAGGAGGCCCCGAGCAGCACTCATGGCTTCATCTGGGCTCTTCAGAGAAACCCTAACAGAAGACAATAAGTGGGTATTATTTATGTGCCAGGAGTAATGGGCAGAGATGACCAGGACAAGATCTATTAAGGGGGCAAAGGGGAAAAGGCAAGTGAGCATCTTCAGGGACTGCTTAGCATGCCCCCTAGCCCCAATCACCATTCTTGGTATGAAAGTCTCTTTCAAGCTGCTCAACGGCGGAAGTGAAAATATGAGGGTAATAGACATAATGAATAACCACAAGGCAAAGAGAGTCCTACTGTTCATTTATTTATTTTTTAAAAACTAATCCCACCTCCTGTGTTAATTAGCCACAGCACTCTGATTTTGGTGTCTGGAATTAATAATAAGTCTCTCGATCAGTGGGGAGTAGCTGGCTGGAAAATTCATCTGCTGAGACAGAACTTCAGCACCCTGGAATCCACCATATCGATGCAAATTATGGGCACCTAGAATATATATGTTCCTGCCAGCTCTCCGGTCTGGCACATTTCTAGCATGGTCTCCAGTTGCTGGCAGCTGACATCTTTCCAGGGGTTCTGACTTGCTAATACAGTCCCAGCGTATCATCTTCGTAGGCAGTGGGAGCCATTTTGATATCAAAAGGTTATCAGATCAACTACATGGTGATTTACATGTTCATATATATATACCCTCCTTCAAGGAGCTTAGGGTTAGGGTAGGAAACAGTGACTGCTGAGCTGGGATTTGTCCAAGTCTTTCTGCTGCACCACACTGGTTTTCTAACACCTCTACCTGACGCCATCACCACTCATAAAACTGTGAGGCAACACCAAGATTAAGAAGTCCCTCCTAGTCAGAAATTTGTTTCCTTTGCTTTCCAACAGGTGACAGACACCAGCTCACTTCAGCATTGCACATTTGTGAAAATCTCTCCCAGGAAACAGTAATGAAAGGTGCCCATGTGCTGTGCTGTTACTTTAAATGCACACACACATCCCTTCCCGGATAACGCACATGCGGCTGGCATCATTAATAATTACAGCTTCTGATTATTATTTTTTTAGAAAAAGCCCTCAGCCGACCCACCCCCGTGCAGCTGTAAATTACTCATCAATTGTTAGTACCGCGCTGTGGAGTGAGGGCTGAGTCAGCTGTCATCCAGTCTATGTCATGCCCCATTTCATCCCTCTCCCCCCCCCCCCCCCCACGGGCAGCCCTCGGGACTGTAAATGAGGCTTAATTTCAACAGTTACAGCAAGAGACCCAGCCCAGCCATTTTACCTCACAGTGGAGGCTGCTAGTGGATGACTGCTTACAAAGGAGGGGAAGGAAAGAAGACAGAACAAACTCAGGGCATGTGAAGACAATGTGCAAACCCACTCTCAGAAC